TGAGTTTCAACTTGCAGGGATGAATTATGACGGGAAGATTCTTCCTCTCAGCTGATTGGTCAATGTCATGTCAATCACAATTTTAACAGTCCAATCGGAGAACAGACGAGTTTGACTGTCGGGGCGGCGCTTTATTGAGCTGCAGGTTCTGCAAGGATAGTACATTTTAAAGATGGAGGACGGGACCAGCGATACCAAACGTCATTTTCAAAAAAGAAAAATTCTTACGGTGCCTCAGCTAGTAGAGCTTTTGCCTCTCGGCAAGTAGGTCGCTGGATCAAATCCCAGTAGGGGGGGGTTCTGGTTGGAGTTTGCATGTTCTCTCTGTGCTGCGTGGGTTTTCTCGGGGTACTCCAGTTTCCTCCCACAGACCAAAAACATGCATCTTAGACTGATTGGTGACTCTAAATTGTCTCTATGAGTGAGAGACTGAATGGTTGTTTGTCTCTGTGTGTCCCTGTGGTGGACAGGAGACCTGTCTGGATATGGGCACCAGTCACCCCCCGTGACCCAAAAAGGATGAAGCGGGTAAAGGTAAAGGATGGATGGGTTTTGTTTTTGTTCCACTAAAATATAAAGTACTGTTTACCTGAGCTGCAGAAGTGCTACCGCCATCCTCTATCATTAACATGACTAAAATGACCCACATGATTGACACACACTGACCAATCAGCTGAGAGGGCAAAACATCCCATCATAATTCATCCCTGCAAGTTGAAACTTACACGCATGTTAGGAAACTTGCGCTCAGAGTTTTACACATAGATTTTTGCTTTGCATCTGTAAATGGACCTTGACAAAAATATTTTGCATTTTCTAAATAAAATGGATTTATAAATTGGCTCTAGAAACCAGGTGGTCATCCAATAGAGCCAATTTTGTCCAGCAAGGCTCAGATTTCTCAAACGATGTCCTGCTACTTTCTCAAATGTGAAGAAATGAAATAACCAAGGACAAAGTCAAAAGACATTTTCATAGTAAACAATCTTCTTAATTGCGGAGTATAAATATTAACACTTCTTGTTACTTGGTGGCATTAGTCTCTGTTTTAATTTGCCACAAAAGCAAATACCGTATTTTTCGCTGTATAAGTCGCACCTTTTTGCATAAATTAGGATGCTCTGTGACTTATACAGCTAAATGACTTATTTATGCATTTCCCCATATTTATAACCCAATTTTAGCTGAATTCTGACAATATCATTCATTCTGACATGGAAAATATTGAACACTACTATTTTTAGCCACTAGAGGGCCCTCAACTACTATGGCAAGCCAAGTGTCTCATTAATAGATAAAAGTGGCTATTAATGTGACACATGGCTTGCCATACAGAGCCACCTTCGTCTCGTTCCGGAGCTCGTGGAGCAAACGTCAAATCAGCTGCATTTTGCTGCGCGGCCCAGGCGAAATGCAGCTGATTTGATTGTCAAAGAGCATTTATTAAGGAATAGTTCAACCGAGACACACCTTTGCTATAATTTCGAGCAAACAAATAATTGTTTTTAAGTGTTAATCTTGTTAAATTCTTGTTAAAGTCCTCCTGTGCACGCTCCCACGGCTGCTATTTGGCAGCCAATCGATTTTTGGCACAACACGACCCACGTTTCCAGGTGGTCAGCGGTGACGCACAATAGATGCGATGTATACAGCAAAGCAATGTATTTATATTTTTTCCACTTTATTGGACATATTTGGACTGATGCAACTTATAGGGCGGTGTGTACGGTGACAAGTACAGTATCCTGTCACTGATCTGACCAACATGTGTTAAAAATTAAACAACAAAAATGCATAATACAGCCCGAAACATCCATTCACTGCCATTATTTAACAAGAAAGTTACACACTGAACTATAAATTAGTTCCTACTTTCAATCTAAATATAGCGGGAGCACCAGAACGAGCTGACAAAAGGACTAACTCTGGTTTTCTAAACCAGATTTAGTCTCTCTGTGGTTATAAATGACAAACAGGAGATTTTAAATTATTCTCACCTGCCAAAAATAAATATAAACTAAGTCAAAACCAATTCATGTTCTGAAAAAAAGAAGTCACACTAATTACACTGGACAAGAACAACCACTGAAGTAACTCAAGGAAGTAATTGAGCACATCTCCCAGTCAAGTTTGCATTATTTGAGCATTTACTTGCACATTACAAGTGAATCCATCATTCTGAACCACACAGACTAAAAAATAAGAGTTGTGTTTCCAACAGTGAATAGCTGTGAAGGCATGCAACACAAGTCTCAACTGTATCTTGGTATGTTGTGATCCGTCACTGACAATAAATGGCAAACAGAGCAAACTGTTGTTACAACCTCCTGCCTCCGGCTCTGACATTCTGCATGACACGGCAACTGAATGCAAGCAGCGAAACGGTTTGTTGGGATGTCGACTGAAGCTTTGTGTTGGCTCAGAAGCCGGGGACTGTCAACAGGTGTGCTGATAATGATGTCAGTCCTCGAGGGGACAGGGTGAGAGAAGAACAACAAAGAATAGTGTCAGTTCACGTCCACCGCTCTGCACGCAGCTTCACACATTCTAGGTCAGTAGAAGCTTTAAAAAGAAGCATCATTGTCCTCTGAGGGGTTGGAGCTGCTAAATAGGGCTGCAATGGTGCCTGACACTTGAAGAGGAGCCATCTTTTTGAGGAAGTTAATGAAAAATGCCGGGATATAAATGTAGAAAGATAATGAAGGGAGCAGAGGAGTTTCAACAGAGAGATCAGGAGTTTTACCAACAACCAAAGAGTATTTGTTTCTTTACTCCCATTTTTTATTAATCCATGAATCATCAGTCGATCTTCTCTACCTGCTTTTCCTTTCTGGATGATGGGGAGCTGGTGCATATGTCCATCAGTCACTGTGAGAGAGGTGGGGACACCTGGACAGGTTGCAAGTCCATCACAGAGACAAATGGAGACAAAACCATTCATACTCATAACTTGGGACAATTTATACCAATTAACCTAACATGAATGATTTTGGTCTTTGGGAGTGCAGAGACAATGCACAACTGAACTGGGAGAACATACAAACTCCACCCAGAAAGGCCTGAGGCCAGGAGACGATCCCGTCAACTGTTTGAGGTAAAAAGTCACTGGTTGAGTACAAACCGACCTCTGTGAAGGGTCTGAGCAAAGTATTCTGCTTCACAAGTTACTGCTAACCAGAAAGCCCAGACGTGTCCAGTATAGGCTGCCATGCACTTCATCTGCTTCACCAGTAAGACTCCCATGCCGCAGGTGGACTCCAACATCACCACTGGACTGCTGATGATTCTAGCAGCTGTGGCCGAGAGGTTAGAGCAGTCATCCTTTAATGGGATAACTGGGGGGTTCGATTCCACCAGCAGTCACATGCTGACGTGTCCCTGGGCAAGACACTGAACCCCCTCATCGCCTCCGATGCGTGTCCCATCGGTGTATGAATGTGATCTAAAGCTCTGATTAGTCTTGTGTGGGTATAGTAGAGTGACGCATGAATGGGTAAACAAGACACGGACTGTGTTGTAAAGAGCTTTGAGTATGTGGAGAAGATAGAAAGGTGCTGTACAAGTACAGTCCATTTACCATTTACCACTCTGCTCTATGCAAGCTTTGACACTCCAAAGAGCCTGCAGGTGGAAAACCGGTTCAAGTGCCACTACGCTAAGCTCACAGCGCCGGCGTATGAGCACAATAACAACCATCCTCAGCTGCAGTCCAAGACTATCGAGCTGTGTCTGATAAAGGAAGGAAAACTGTAGGAAGGAAGCCTCGTGCACGACATTAATTACAGTTCAACCCTCCTCCGCTGCAACAAAACTAAGACGTGCACTACGTGTTGAATCAAGGTCCACGATAAAACACCTTCCCTACATATCCTGATTCAAGCTCAATAATCCAGGTAGAACAATCCAGCAAAGTTCAGTCAGGTCCTCTGGACGGATTATTTTTGTTGAAACGTTTCGTCTTTCATCCAAAAGAAAGAAAAAATTACATAAAGTTATATTTTGAACCACTTTGACCATGACTGCCTCAAACGAGTCGATGGGGGAGAGGGGGGACTCCAGAAACCATCGGAGCACCATCCAACTGGTTGACCCACTATGGGAAGGTGCTTTTTATAAGACTGAATTTGTTGCGGCTCCTCGGACTGATTAAGTCCTTTGGATGAAAGACGAAACGCTTCAACAAGAAGGAGCCGTCCAGAGGACCTGTCGTCACTTTGTTGGATTTACTTGACGTTTATGAAGTCGTTATCTAATATTTAAATTAAATGCAACAGATTTTCAAAGGATGACACGTGACATATGGAATTTTAGTTTTAATCCAGATTATACAGGCAGCACTTAAAAGATAAACACTGAAAGGGGTCAATAATCAGCCAGAAAAACTGAAAAGCACGGGAAGCACCTGAAATCCATGCCACACTACATCACAAAAACTTCTTGTTTTTTTTTATATATACATATATATTCTTGCTGAAGTATAAATACATTCCAGCAGCATGCAGGGCAGCAGCGTTTGATAAGAAGACAGCTCACTGCAGGATGGTGAACTCCACTACAATGGGGCCTGGCAAGAGTCCTGGTTGAAATTCTCCCAGAACAAAAACCTGCTTGTGTGAATATTGTTCACCCAATAAGGCAAACTCCATTCCACATGCTGCATTCATTGTTTTCAGACAAACATGCACCAGGTCCTGCAACAGCCTCAGCTCCTGAACAATGGTCCTGACCACAGACCCATGAAGCTGCTGCAGAATCCAGGAGTCGAAAACACTGACAACTTCACAAGTATTTTGATTTGTCAAGTTTTAACGGTATTCATTTGCTATGAGGTGCATAAACAGAAAACTCAATGCATCAGTGGGGATACCTTAGAAAACCTCTGTAGTTATTACAACAGGTGACGAAGCAACTAAATAAACTGATGTTTTAAATAAAATAAGTCAAAAGTTGTGAACGCTGCGCTGAATATGTGCAAACACGGAGATCCTGCGTGGACCCACCTCGATCCACTTCTGCGCCTCCTGGACCGCAGAGTCTGCGGCCGACTCCGTCCGTGCGGGATGCTGATGAGACTGTCCCGTGTCTGCAGCCATGGACGAGAAGACGAGCTCTCTGTCCAGATGTGGAAGCCTCCAGAAGGAGTGAGAGCAGCCGAGAGCCGCGTGTCCCCCCACTTCTTAACGCGTCAGCCCGCGGCGGCACCGGCGAGGCGGACGAACCAGTTGCTGCAGGAAGCGTCTCTGGCAGACTGGGCCGGATCAGCTGCAGCGAGTCCACCTGGGTTATCAGAGGAACTTCCGCTGGGCGCCTTCAAAATAAAAGGCTACATGCAAGGGATCTCATCAAGTCATTCTGTGACACAATCAAGACTAAAAAAAGCTAAACGATAATTTCCTGTTTTATATTTTTATTTTTTTAGCTTCGGGCATCTTTACAACAGAAACTTAGACGGCCAAATAGCCAATGACACATTGAAGACATTAAATTTACACCAAAAGTAAAAAAAAAAAAAAAAAAAAAAAAAGAAGCTAGCTTGGATTAGTAACACAAAGAAATAATTATCTTTAGCCTATATGAGGATAAATCTGTCTCAAAAGTAGTCACACAAGCGAACTACAAGTTTTCCAAATGCAAGAGTCACAAAGGTAATGATGCATTCAAGGCTTGGAAAAAGCTGGGACATCTGATTATTACTATTTACGAAGTCATTGGGACATGATCAGAGCTCATATAACCCCTATATTAAAACACATCCACACATTCAAAACTATTTCCTTCCTCAAAATTTAAAAAAAAAAAAAAATTATATATATAAAAATTTTTTTTAAATAAATAAATTTATTGTATTTTATTTCTGGTAAGTGTTTATTTTTACGAACAATACGGACATATTGAGTCCTCGCCTTGCATGTGAAAATTTTTCCATATTTTTTTGTAGAAAAAGTCACTTCCACCAGGGCCTAGATCTCACCTTCTGCTCATGACCCGCCAGTCTCTGTGCCTTGCTCTGCTGTCTTTGACAGCTTTGAACCTGTGACTCTGTTGTCTCTGCAGGAGGCGGTGAGTCATTTAAAGCCAACAGTTCTCCAGGTGATACTTTATTTAATGAGGTTTTTCTCACTGTGGGTCCTTCGGTCCTTGCTCTTATGAAAAGCAGTCTGTCCTCTCGTGTGGTCCCTGGAAGTTTTAAACATGCAGCCTCTCGTTAAGAAACCCACTCTTGACCCCTCTGTTCTTGCCAACTACAGGCCAATCTCTAAACTGCCATCTCTTTCAAAACTTCTCGAGAAGGTGGTGTACAACCAACTATCAGCATATTTGAAAGAACAGAACATGCTCGTGGTTTCACAGTCTGGTTTTAAATCTCTGCACAGAATCTGCCCTTTTGAAAGTTTTTAACGACATATTTTTAGCAACTGACTCTGATCACTGTGCTGTTCTCTTGCTTTTACTTTATCGGCTGCTTTTGATACAATGGACCATAGTTTTTTTATTTGTTTGTTTTGTTGTTTGAAACAAGGGGGGAGGGGGGGGGGGATCAACAGTACAGCACTGGACTGGTTTAGACCCTACTTAGCCGAGCATATTTTCTGTGTATGCCTTGGTGACCACGTGTCCTCCTCTGCTGTTCTTTTGTGTGGGGTCCCGCAGGGCTCAGTTTCAGGCCCCTCCTCTTTGTGCTGTACCTGCTCCTTTTTGGCTCTATTTTTAGAAAATATGGGATCTCCTTTCATTGTCACGCCGATGATACACAGATATATGTCCTGCTAAAGAAAAAGGACTAACTCCCTGTGCCCTCTCGGTCAGGTGAGTTGAATGGCGACCTTCCAATCACGGGCCCACCGTCTCTAACCTCTGTGCCACCATCCCTTCTTAAAACCCATTTCTTCTCCCTGGCCTTTGACACCATTGTTGACTTTTAATGTTAATCATTCTTTATTGTCTGTTTTATTATGTGTACAGCACTTTGGCCCTGTGGGTGTTCAAAGTGCTCTACAAAATAAAGCTGGTACTGTGGGTACGCAGCAGACAGAAACATCTAGGACATGCTCTTATTTTGAAAGTAACACACTTCGGTAAACAATCTGTTCTAATTAGACTTGACATTGTTTGGTCTGCACACCGCAGTATGATCTGCTCCATGGACACCAGGCAGCCTATGAGATGTTGCACGGGGAGGGGGTCACGCCCACCTTCACTGTCTGGAGCACATGAGCTCATTGAAAAAGAAAAAAAAAAGTCTGACCATGCAAGGTGCAAGTTAACTAACTTAGAATGGCTCATTTAGGTTTTTGGTTTTGATTATTAAAGTGAATAAGTGGCACTTAGTTTTAGTAGAAAAATAAACTACAGCATTTTTAAAGTAAAAATATCCACATTTCCACTCCTTGTATCAACTTGCAAACAATTATTTCTGTAAGTTGTCAAAGTCAGTCAGGTTTGACATTAGACTCTTTGAGCCGTGGTTTGGACAGACAGGACGTTTTAAAACCAATTTATTCTGTTAAACACCATGGTGTTTTTGAACACTTTATTTTGTAACTGGGTGAGATGAGACACACAGGTAGCTGCAGCAGCAGTCAGTATGCAAACAAACAAACAAACAAACAAACAAGAAGTAAACCAAAGAACCCCTTCACATCATAGAAACCGGTTCCCAACGGTAACAGTTTCGTGTTCATATTTTTGTTCTGAAAACAGCTATTACTTTAAAAAAAACATGTGACCAATGAAATACTTCGTTTAAAAAGGACACACAAATAAATAATTATTCTGAACACTCAGGAATAAAAGCCCTCAGTTTGTGAAGCTGAATTCATCACTTCTGTCCTGCAGATGTGCGTCAGGGATGGATTTAATCAGGATAAAAGCTTCAAGGCCCCACAGGTGCTCCCTCTGTGTGTTCAGAGTCCGACATGCTTCTTATATTTCTGCTGACATCTTGTGGTCGACATGCAACACTACAGAAACAAGATTAAAAACGTTTCAGTCTCTTGTCTTCTGTTTCAAAAACACATTTTATCTTTCCATTGTTCAAAACGTGTACAATACTGTTCTTACCACAGTAAAATGCTTCACTGTTAAATCTTAAATAAAAAGGAGAACACACTTTGAATTTGACTGGAAAAGAAAAAAAAATGGGGGGAACATAAATATACATAAATTTTGCACACACTGGTCATTAAGCCAATATTTAGATTTTGCCCAAAAGATAATTGTCACATTCTGGTGCAGTCGAACCCAATGGTGCAGGCAGCACGAGGAACTCAGGAGGTAAAATAATAATAATTAATTTCAAAAACATAATAGAGCTGACGGGGCAGTAAACTTGCATAAACTCTGGAGATACAGGTGAAACCATGGCAGGACACTGAACTACAAACAGAGACACAGACTAAAATATGGACACTGACGAGAATTAAACACAAAACACCTGTGAAGCATCACCGTGTGGGAGGCAGGGAGTGATTGACAGAGGGAGAGCAGGACAGAAACGCAACACAAGAGGGCACCATCCTCACAGTACCTCCTCCCAAGGACGTCTCCAAAAAAACACGCACTTAAACTTGGGGGGGAGGAGGGGGAAACTGCGAGGATGGAGAGTCCAAGAGAAGACAAGGAAAGAACCAAAAACCGGCAGGGTGGAACCTGGAATCTACACAAAAACACGCAAAGGAACACAAAAACAAATTCATTCATTCATTCAACCTTTATTTAGACAGGTAAATCTCATTGAGCCTCGAGGACTCATTTACAAGAGAGACCTGATTTCAACAAAGAATGATGATAACAACGGACAACAGCGACAACAATAAACAGTTATAAAAAGGCATACAATTTTTTTTTGTTTTTTTACAAAAGGATGGCTAAAAAAAGAGAAGTAACAAAAAACAGCTAGATTCAAGGGCAAATGTAGAAAACAAAAAACAGGAACATGTCTGCATTGGTCATTGCCAGGAGTCTAACAGATTCTTAAGCCACTTAGAGAGGTCAAGGTCGAGAGCTTCAAATCTTTTTGTAAGATATTCCAAGAAACAGGAGCGGAGTAGGAGAAGGCCCTTTTGCCTAGTTCAGTCCTCACTGAGGGAACACTGCAGGTAATAATGTCCTGAGAGCGCACGCTGTAGCTGCACTCACGCAGTTCACACAAATGTTCAGATAGATGGTCAGGCGACCGTCCATTGACGGACAGAGTTTAAGTGAGTAGCTGGGAGACCGTCCAGCACGGGACCACAGTTCCGAGGGACGAATGGGAGACCGTCCATAATCCAGGTAGATTTCAAGGCGGGCAGCCAGAAGATTGCCAGGGCAAAGTTTAAGTGGTCGGGAGACTGTCCATCACTGGAGTGCAGAGATGAGGAACCAGTAGATCTGCAGCTTGTGTAGATACCTCGGGGACTGCAGCTGTAGTTGAGAACGTGGAGGCTGCGGCTGTAGTTCCATCACTTCCTACTTGCTCTCGACAAAGACGGACACTTTTCCTCCCGCTCCTGCTTCCCTCCTGCTTCTGCTTTCTTGCCGTGTGAATCTTTTTCAGAGCCTCTCTTTGCATATCTTCCCAACTGTAAATTATGGATCTGGTCAGCAGGGCAGCACGGTGGTGCAACTGGTAGAGCTGCTGCCTCTCAACGAGCAGGTTACCCTGGTTCAGATCCCGGTCCGGGGGCCTTTCTGGGTGGAGTTTGCATGTTCTCTCTGTTCATGAGTGGGTTTTCTCCAGGTTCTCTGGCTTCCTCCCACAGACCAAAAACATGCATGTTAGGCTGATTGGTAGCTTTAAATTGTCCCTAGGTGTGAGAGAGAGAGTGAATCGTTTGTCTCCATGCGTCCCTGTGATGGACTGGAGACCTGTCCAGGGTGTCCCCCGCCTCTCACACAGTGATGGCTGGACATGGGCACCAGCGCCCCCAGTGCCCCAAAAAGGAAGAAGCGGGTAAAGATAATAGATGGATGGATCTGGTCAGCTGGTCTCAATGCAATTGATAAAATTTTCTTGACAAAAGACATGGTGAAGGAGAGCCCTCAAGCCCTGAAGGGACACTCGCAGCTGGATACACTATCGATTCCTGGGACAGTGGAAGATGGTGTGTCTGTCTGTATTGTCCACTGAAGATGTAGAAGACGTGTACATAATGGGATTTATGATAACAGGTTTTCTGCTTTTTGTTAGCGGGTATCTAGCAACAAATTTGGATGACATCGACAGCGGTTCTGGCATTTGTGAGGCTGCCTGCCTTGTGTGAAGGAATGTGC